GTTATTCCATCATGACCAGAAGCATACATTCTCTCGCACCGAGTTAACTCTGAATTATATACATATTTTTACTTTTAAAATATTTAATGGCTTGTTTTATAAATCAACCAGTATTGCTTTTTTCTCTTTTTTTTTTTTTGGTTTGTTTCTCTTCTTTGTTATTCATGGTTTTTATTCACACTCTTATTTCATTAAATATACTTATTTTATGTTCTATATCAAATAATCCCAATATCTGAAGTTCCTGTAGATCTGAGTCAACTGTTGCTATTGAGACTTACTCACAGTCACCTGTCTGCTGGCTATACTGTTACAAGCTCATGCCTGTTAACAAGCCGCCTCTGAACCCCCTGAAGGAGAGCTGACGTATATTCCACCACAGATGACCTGAGTTTGCTGCTCCCAGGTGCCCAGGAGCTCTAACAACTTGGATCTACTTTTTAAAAAAATTCAGTTTATATATGTCTAGAGTTTGACCAGAAAATAAATATATGTGGTTCAAAAAATTTAAACTAGGGACTTCTCTGGCTGTCCAGTGGTTAAGACACCACGCTTGCACTATAGGGGGCACAGGTTCAATGCCTGGTCAGGGAGCCAAGATCCCACATCCATGTGGCAAAAAAAAAAAAAAAAAAAATTAAACTAGTTCCCTTCCCCTTTTACTTGGTTGGGCCTAAGGTCTGAACTAGCATAGTGTGTTGTAAAAAATTTAACTCTGCCCCTCAAAAAGCTCTGGTTTTTGCCTTTAGAACCCTAGAACTAACCCTAAATTGCTGGAATGTCTTGTTTGATAAGAGTCTTTGTTTACTAGGGGGCCATAAGCTGTGCCAAACAGCCTAACAATGGGATTTATGGCAGGAACTTTGAGTCACACACCATCAGCTCCATCTGAGGAGGGACTGGAGACGAAGGCTGTCTGCCCAGGCAACCAACCATATCCAGGGGATGGCGGGGTCCCCATAAAACTCTGGACACCACAGCTTGGGTGAGCTTCATGGGCTGGCTGTTGGACGTCACCACCAGGGAGAGCTGATGCTCTCCACGTCCCCACGGGAGAGAACAGCTAGGCGCTCAGCTTGGAGCCCTCCTGGACTCCGTGTGTCTCTCTCATAGGCTGATTGTAATCTGTGTCCTTCTGCTGAAATGGACCATAACTTTCAGTGGAACAGCTTTTATTGAGTTCTGTGAGTCCTTCTAGCAAATTACTGAACCCCAAGGATGGTCTTGGAGATCCTCAAACTCTGAAATTGGTTCTAGAAGTGAGGGCAGGTTTAGAGACCATTCCCTAACTCCGCACAAAGTCAGCGGCACTGGGACTGAGAATCCAGCTGGAGGGGCTGGGGTGAGGCTAAGAAGGGGGCTGGAGCAGTCAGGAGACTGCTCAGGGGTCAGGCAAATAAGCGTCCTCAAGGAGCTTTCCTTCTAGTCTGCACCCAGGGACTTTCATGCTGCCAAATCTCACTTTTCCTACCCCTGCCTACTACCCAAGCACCTTAACATCATCAAGTGATCTAAGAAGTGCTAGGAAAATGAAACAAAGCTCCAGTTCTTAAAAGGGCAGGGACGTGAGCTCTGAATTAAGATTTCTAAGGTAAACTCATGCAAGTAAACTGTCATCGGGGGCTGGAAATAAGGTTAACAGCTCTGCAGATGATATGCATTTCTAGTTTTGAATGTTACCTAAAAGACTTTCACAGTAAACTAAGATGAACTCAAATCTGTTAAGAATGTACAATATACCATCAGACTGTCAGGGATGGACCTCTTGCTCAGGTAAGCCATCCTTCTAGCATGCCAGTAATAAATATGCTCCAACTTCATTATGCAGAGAAAACTTGGATAGCTACTTCAGAAACCAAGCATATCTTTTGGACTTTCAATCTGTGTCATTTTAGTTTCCAAAATATAATTCCAAGTAAGACTGTAAAGTCTTAGTCTTCTTATCATTATAAAAGATACAAAATAGAGAATATCCAGAACTTAGGATCCCTCTTTCCCTACACTGATAACTATTATTATTCAATGAGACTGCCCTATGTTAAGGCAAGTGGCTGTCTACCACATGCTAAGAGCAGTAGGAACAGTTCATCAGATTTCCTCTATAGAAAACAAGATACTTGCTCCTGCTCTTACAAATGAAAACTAAATTTAAAAATATATATGTGAAATTTAAAACCAAAAGAAGTAAAAAATAATTAGGAAAATAAGTCCATTCATCTCTGATTCCCTCCTAAGATAAAGACTTCCTAGAGTGCAAGGACTATGCTTTACATGATCAGCAACTTGAAAATAGAATAAATACAAAAACTAGGAGTACACACAAATTAATAAGAGCTGGGTAGTTTGAACCAAGGAAAGTTCCCTAAAGAACATAATTTTGCACTGGATTTTTCAAGAAGTCATGGAAATGTACTGAGAGAGTCAACATAACTCAGGGGAGAGCAAAGCACTGGGGGAAGACGGTACCTTTGGTTTTGTCTAGCTTGGCCGACACAGGCCACAGAGAGGGGTTTAATGAAATGTCAGAGAGTCTGCGAGTGGGGCTGTCCTTAGGTCCTGCTGAGATATGTTGGATTTATGCACCTGAGAACTACTATCACAGGCTAGCGAGATGATAATAATGACAAAACCTATGATCACCAACCAGTGAGAAGCAACAGAAGGCTATAAAACTTGTTCTAGTTCAAAGTATAAAAAGCATTTCATTACTCCAAGAATGGGAACCAAATCTATACTATGACTTTTGTTAAAAAGGTCCAAAGAAAACTCGAAGATGGACAACAGGGCAGTGGGGACAGACAAGGTTTCTCTTTTGCCCAAGTGAGTGACAGCTACCTGTACTTTCTGTTTACAATGATATAAAAGGGGGAAATATTTTTAAAAATAAAGAATATGCATATAGTAGTGTGCTCCTACATCAAAGAGGAAGAAAAGGTGAAGGAAAACCAGAGGACAGAGACAAAACAGAAACCGCGGCTCTGGTGCACTGGAAAACAGAAAAGGGGAGACATCCAAAATGACGTCTCACTCTCAGAGTTTGCCGCCTTCCTCCAAGTCTACAATCTCCAAGAAGCTGAGAGAACAGGCAATGAGAAGAAATACTCTCAAACAAAACAAGTTAATTCCCCATAACACATATGCCAAGACCAAATAATTTCAAAATGCCCCCAAGTATCTGGGTCATATTTATAACTAAATTTGAATCTTGGTTCAATGTCATGCTTTTTGTAGGGATTCCTTCCTCATCTCTCCTGAAAGTATAACTATAAAAACAAAATAAGCTTCATAACAAAAATCAGCATAATAACTGCCCTGTGAACACAAACTAAGGGAAGAACATGGCATAGCTTCTATCTTTCCCATTGCTGCCAAAACAAAATAACAATAATCTTAAAGCCTGAAGCATCTTACAATGCCATCACAGATTGTGGCCTGTATCCACTGCTTTGCAGCCTTCCGAGGATGAGCCAGTGGGATTTAACATGAACCAAATCTGTCAACCAAGTCGAAGACAGACACGTGGGTTCTAATGAGCAGTGGCGAAAAAAACATACTGCTCCATTCAGCTCCAAACAATGATAAATAATTCAGGAAAAGAACTGCCACAATATAGAGCAAGGCAGCAAGGCTTAAAAATAGAGCTTAGGTGGAAGAATCAGGAGTCAGAAAAAATGACTTATGTCAACAATTCCCAAGCCATTTGCAATACAGGATGCTGTTGAAATTGTCACTCAAAACAGATGCCAGAAATCTAATGTGTTTTTTCAAAAAACAAGTACTATTTCCAAGAACTTGGCAAAGCTGGTAACAAGATAGGTAATAAACAATAGTACTATTTGGCAATAGTAGGTATCATTTAAAAAAAAAAAAAAAGCAAATCCAAATGACATAGGGAAGACATGTTCTTAAGAAAAAAATTAGAAGGGGGATTAAAATTCTATTTTTCATACCACTACATTCTAGGTATAACATAAATTTAGACTTAACTAATAATTACACCTCTAAAGTTGAGAGTGCACAGCACTCGAGATCTTTCTGTTCAGTTCTCCACACTAACAGATCTGATCATGCAGCACATGCAAACACAAGATTCTCACCTGTTTAAAAAAAAAAAAAGAGCACCTTGAAAACTGAACAGATGTCATGACTATTATTATTTCCACATTTAAATTAAACTGTAAGTCTGATAAAACTGATGAGTTTGGGACTTTCTGGAAGTCCAGTGGTTAGGGTGCAACATTTTCACTGTCAAGGGCCCATGTTCCATCCTGGTCAGGAAACTAAGATCCTGTCAGCCTTGCAACTCAGTCAAAAAAAAAAAGGGACAAATTTATAATTAGATGAGGATAATCCAAGATCACGGGTTCATGTCGATTTTCCAGGTTTCAATCTACTCAAGAATGCTTCAAGAATGGGGTCTGATAAATAGTGTGGCTGGACAGTCTTTCTGAATAATGGTATCCTGTGGACTAAATACAAGAATGACTAGAACCCAGAGGTATTCTACAAACTCAACAATCTGTATAATGAAAATCTAATAATCCACATCCAAATGGCAAATCTTCACAGCCACCAAAACACACACCACTCTCTCTTCCTAATTCTAAGATCAATTTCAGACAACTGAAAATTTTAAGACTATACAATGATGCCTAATCTACCTTTAAAGTATAATATAAAATACAACAGAAACTATAATCTTGTCCTTTTATAAATGTTTCATTCTAACTAAGCAAAGCAAGCAGTACTGAAGAAATTCTTGTTCAGCATAAACTCCAGACCAATACATAAACAGACCAATATGCTTCTACCTCACCTATCTTCAGAAGAAAAATTGGTTATGTCTCCTCATAACTATGTCATTCAACTTAAACTGCAGAAAGATCAGAACACACTTGGAACAAGTTTCATTTGTTTTTTTTCTCTCCCACTCTTAGATTCTCTAGAATTTAAGATTAAATACTAAATAGTATGTTAAAAGGTAAAACAGACTGGCTTACTGAAAACATGATCCATCCAAAGCACTTCTCCAGGACTTCCCTGGCAGTTCAGTGGTTAAGACTTCACCTTCCAATGCAGGGGGTACAGGTTCTATGTGCATCTCGGCCAAAACACCCAAACATAAATAATAGAATCAATACTGTAGCAAATTCAATAAACACTTTAAAAAAAAAAAAAGGTCCATATCAAAAGAAAAAAAAAAAACCCAACTTCAAAGCACTTCTCCAAGCATGACATAACATGGTCAAATTAGCTGTTTTCCATACCTGCTGCACTCACCAAACAATAAACAATCATGTCCTTTCTATGTAAATCCACACCTTCTCACTGTTGACAAAGGACAGTATAGTCAAATATACCTGAGTTTGAGTCCTGGTGCTAGTACCACCCTTGGCTGTTGTAAAGAAAGCCTATTCTGAGTCTTGTACTTTAGACAGATCCACTCTGAAGCTCTTCTAACCTGTCTATCCCCTCAGGGCAAGATGCTTATAGGACCAAGGGGTCAGTCCTACCAGAAGCCCCAGACTCTACCACCACCAACTATAGTCTCTGCATCCTAGAATGCCCTGCCCAAGGCTCAAACTTACTTCCAGGGCCTTCAGAGGGTCTCTCCTCAAACTCTGTCCTCAACAGACAATACCTGTTCACATTCCACGGTCTGAATGGGGGGCAAGGGACAAATGATGAGACGGATGCAGACAGAGACTAGATTTAACAGGACATCCCTGTATTGTCACCTTCCTGTCTCAGAACTCTGAGAAGTCCAAGAATTCTGGCCTTCCAGGACATTATGAAAATATATCTAAGCAGGAGGACAGTTTCTTTTTTCCAAAGTTTTGTTTAAAATTCTGATTTCAAAAAAAAAAAAAATTCTGATTTCAGGAATCCCTGGTGGTCCAGGGTTAAGAATCTGCCTTGCAATGTAGGGGATGCAGGTTTGATCCCTGGTCGGGGAACTAAGATCCCACATGCCGCAGAGCAGTTAGGCGCACAGGCCCCAACTACTGAGCCTGAGCACAGCTAAGAGTCCATGCACTGCAATGAAAGACCCCACAACTAAGACCAGAAGCAGTCAAATACATAAACAGAATTCTGATTCATAACCTAAATATCTAAACACATGGAATATATGCTTCCATTCACACTTTCATCCTGGGACTTAAAATCGTTAGGAACAGATCTACCTAACCACATCACACACCAGCTGTGTGAACTGAGTAGCAGCCACCTCTATAACTCTCACTTAACTGATCTGTAAAATAAGCAAGTTAAAAATGCCACTGTAGGATTTTAATACAATTAAATAATTTTCAAAATTATTTTACAGGGCACCTGACACTCAGCAAATCTGGGACAAACTAAAATATCATTTATTACATGTTCTGCCATCACACTTCTCCCTGGAAGGCAAAACAGGTACCAAAGACAAAAAAGTAGAGCCAATTTTCAGAGAAACTACAACCAAAACACCACCATCTATAAGTTTCAATTTAAGGAATTCCGCATTAATTCCATGGAAGTTTGATGGCGTTGATCATTTCTCCCAGTAAAATGTTAAGCTCCAATTTTTAAAACTACACAAAGAGATGAATGTTAATAAAACTTTTTGCAGTAATCCTTTCTTATTCCAAGTCATCATGCAGTAAGTACATCTTAAACTTACACAGGGCTGCATGTCAATTGTATCTGGATAAAACTGGGGGAAAAACGTAGGATGTACAAGGGCAAGGATTTTTCCTTTTCTTTTCACTGTTATATTCCTTACTCTCTGACAGTTCCTGGCATAACAAATAAACCATTGTTAATAAACCATTGACTACAAAAAGTGAGTATGGAATGGTTGCCCAGTACCTCAACATCAATATCACATGTAAGCAAGTCTGGCATAACCAGAAAATGAATTATTTATATATGGCTATTTCACTTAGCTGCTTCCTCTAATTTCAGAACAGTTTCCTTAAAAATGAAACTAACTAAAACTGTAGAGTATGTCTTTAATATAAGGACAATTTTGTTCTCCTTAACTTGATGCCTCACCTTCCTGCACAGGGATACTAAAAATACTCAGTAATTTCACACATAGTTCTACCAGAGAGGATAATGCAATTAACTAAATTATACTGAAGTTCTTATTTTAAGCTCCAAATATGATGGGATGTAGTAGAAGGATATCCAAAAGCACAGTTTAGGGAAAAGTGCCTTTCTGCAAGTCGCTCATGCTTTTCTCCTTAAGCCTGCTGTATCTTGCATAGGCCAATCCTATCAGCTCTTAAAGAGCTCAAAGTAAGTCTACAAACCATATCCTGCACCCCATCACATTCTCAAAACATTATTATGGGGGTTTCCCTGGTGGTCTACTGGTTGAGAATCCGCCTGTCAATGCAAGGGACACAGGTCTAGTCTGGGAAGATCCCACATGCCATGGAGCAACCAAGTCCGTTTGTCACAACTACTGAGCCAGTGCTCTGAGTCCAAGACTTGCAACTACTTAAGCCCACAACCCTAGAGTCTGTGCTCTGCAACAAGAGAAGCCACTGCTGTAAGAAGCCCATGCAACCGCTGCGAAGTACTAGAGAGCCTGCCCGGCAACGAAGACCCAGCGCAGCCACAAATAAATAAACAAATCTTTTCTAAGAAACATTATGACTTTCAAATTTTCTTAAAACAATCCACTCATCTCTCTGGTGAATGCTCATTTTCAAACTAAAGGTTAAAATACTGTGGCAGAAGTAGGTAATTTGGAAACAAATCTATTCTGAAAGAGACTAAAACATTGACAACATTGTACCTAACACTTTCAGAAAGACAGAAGGAAGTCTGGTAAAAAGATAGTGTAGCAGTATACCCTAAATAACTGAGAATTAAAAATGTGTCAACAAAGGGGACCTGTTGAGGATGTGCTTTCGGATTCACACAAACCCTAAAACTAGGCTGGGTGTTTAATGAAATTATATTTTCCATATTGGTCTGATTCCAAAACCCATCTACAACATAAGGCATCATCTTAAAGAAGAACTACATTTGGTGACTTCAAAATACTATTAGCAAAAAATAAGTATCATATTCCTGGATACTGGCTAAATAAATCTGCAATAGCCCTAAATTCCATGACTGAATTTAGATTAACAAGCTCCTCCATGAACTAAATTCAAAGCCTTCTTGAAAAAAGAAAAAAAGACACAAAAGGCAAAAAGTTCCAACACATCCTATTCCAAACCAAAAATACAAAGCTATAAATGTCTAGACATGCCTCAAGGTGTGTAATTACTGAAGCTAATTAGCATTCTCAAAATTAAACATCCACAGCAATGCTTAAGGGATGGGGGAGGGGGCATTGGGGAGATGTATCTCTCAAATAAATTAAGAAAACAGGATTCTGGAATTACCTAATGTAAGTTGCTAGGAGAAGAAAAATGATTATCAGCTTCCTAAATCTCAACTAATATGTTAGACTTCCTGTTGCTATTATTCACTGGGAAAGTAAGAATTAAATTGGGTATGAAGCTCAGAACTGATACTAACTGTAATAAAGATAACATGAAAGATCCTTTCATTCATACTAAAAAGATGGTGTTTTAAAAAGAAAACACATTTTAAAAAATCTATAGTAAAGCATCACTTTCTATAAGATCATGACAGGAGAGCTGCACCATATAATTTTACCTCTACTCCTCATTTACTTCATCCTAACAAAGACTGTACTATGAGACCCTGGGTAAGAAGGATTCAGTATTCTGTACAGTATAGTTTTTAGAGATTTCGAATTCCACACCTGCCACTTAAAAAATGTGTGATGCTGGGTAAGTTACTTATTTTCTTGGTGCCTCAGTTTCCCTTCGGAGAAAGCAATGGCAGCCCACTCCAGTACTCCTGCCTGCAAAATTCCATGGATGGAGGAGCCTGGTAGGCTGCAGTCCACAGGGTCGCTAAAGTCAGACACGACTTCACTTTCACTTTTCACACATTGGAGAAGGAAATGGCAGCCCACTCCAGTGTTCTTGCCTGGAGAATCCCAGGGACGGGAGCCTGGTGGGCTGCCGTCTATGGGGTCGCACAGAGTAGAGTCAGACACAACTGAAGCGTCCTAGCAGCAGTAGCAGCAATTTCCCTTAGGGCTTTGCTGAGTGACTCAGTGGTAAAGAATCCGCCCGCCAAAGCAGAAGATGTGTATTTGATCCCTGGTCAGGAAGATCTCCTGGAGAAGGAAATGGCAACCCATTCCAGTATTCCTGCCTGGGAAACCCCATGGACAAAGGAGACTGGTGGGCTACAGTCCACTGGGGCGCAAAAGCGTTGGAAAAGACTTAGCAACTAAACAACAAAAGCCAAAACAAGATCAGGGACACTGTTTTTTAAACTTGGAAGAATTAATATAGAAATATTCTTAACTGTTCTATGGTTTCTCTGAAATTTAGGGCCTTGCTCGTATAGAATGAAGAGTAGGTCCAGAGTGACATTAGGTTTTAAGGCCCTCAACATGAATTCTCCTTTTAGAGATAAATATTCTGGGATGCAGACTAATTTTCCTATGCCAGAAGAATGAAGTTCCCTTCCTGTACCTACTAGAAAAATTAATGGTACAGGAGACAAATAAGTAAATTCTAATGTGCTAAGTGCTAGCTAGAGCTGCTCACAAGGTTAAATGGGAATAGAGGAAATGGTCATCTAAATCACACTGGACGGAAGGCTTCCAGAAGGAGGTGATGCTTAAGCCTAACCCTCATGGAAAAACAGCCAAACAGAGGAAATGGAGAAACAGATCTAGACCGTACTTAACAACTGGATGATGTGAAGCCAGATACTTAACCTCTCTAAACTCCAGTTTCTTCATCTATAAAGTGAAATGATAACAGTACTTCATTTGGAAGACTGTGTGAAGATTAAATGAGATAATACATGTAAATAATGCCATGAACATAATGTGAACCCAACAAACAATAATACCATTAACACAGATGTATGGGTCACCATGATGCTTTCTCAGAACTGCCAAGTGTTGCGTTAAAAAAACTATACCGTAAGACACTCACAGAAAAGTGGCTACAAGAGAAGTCAGAGGTTAGTGGGAGCAGGCTCATGAACCATCTTACGTGTAGTGGGACCTCCCGGTGGTCCTGTGGCCAAGACGCCAACTCCCAACGCAGGGGCCCTAGGTTTAACCCCTGGGCAGGGAACTACATCCTACATGGATCCAGCACAACCAAATATATGTATGTACATAAACCTGGTATACTAACTAAAGCAATGGGAAACTTATAAAGGACATCGAGAAAGGAGATACATGGTTATATTTCTATTTTTAAAAGATTACTCTTGCTACAAAAGTAATGGGTTAAGAAAGCAGATAAACTAGAGGCAGAGACACTAACTAGGGAAAAGATGAGATAAGCATTCTGGCTGGAGAATGAAGGGACTCTGATCCAAGAAGCATTAAGGAAGTAGAATCATTAAGACATGGTGACACAGGAGATATGTGTGGTGATAGGGAGAAGTCAAAGAGGACATCCAGGCAACCAAAGACAAAAGCAGCTCTCAAAGTGTGGCCTGGGAATTTCTAAGACTTTTTCAAAGAATATGCAAGATCAAAACCATTTTTATAAGCATGTTAAACCTTATTCACTCTTTCATGTATCTCAAAGACATGCAAGAGCATTTTCTGAAAGCTACATGACGTGTAATATCACAACTAATTGAATGAAAAGCAGGTATGAAATTCATCTTTATTCTATTAACCCCAACACTAAATTATTTGGAAAAATTAAAAACAATGACACATTTCTTATAAATTTTGTTGCTGTTGTAGGAAAAATATTTAATTCACTTTTATGCTAAC